TATCGCTGTGTGGGATTCTACATACATACCGTGTGTCCCCGAAAATAAGACAATGTCTTATATTTTTTGGGGCTCCAAAAAACACACCCTAGGTCTTATTTTTTTTTAATGTACAAGAATCGGGTGATCAGGACAGTCAGGGGGTGCCGTACCTTTCCAAGAGCAATTTGCTAACCAATCGCTGGCCAGAATGAGAGAAGCTTTCACTATCGGTCCCTCACAGGCGGAGTGCATTTGGTATGACTCCGCCTGTGACAGGAGGCGGGGCCATAGAGGAGGCAGCGGCTTATGCGACTCTGCTCCCTCCGGTGCCGCCTCGCTTCCTCTAGCGCCGGCTTCGTTGGCACTGCGGCTCTTCAAGTTCCTCCTTATGCCACCACCGGCCCTGGGAATGGTCACAACTAGGTCTTATTTTCGGGGAAACAGGGTATGTGAAGATTTAGTGATCCAGGGTTGAACTGAGGGGAGAGAGCAGTGGCTACGGTGCTGTAGCTCCTCCTATAAATTGGGCTTCAGCGTGGGGTAAGGGCTGACACCCAGCGCATGCTTTTTCTGCACCATGCGGCCATGAATCTGAAAAGGGATGAAGTACTATGTGCACTGTGTCCCAGGGCTGAGCCCTCAATCACACCTGAACGTTTTGTAGCGCGTTCTACAAAACGCTCAAACATCTAAATCCCGTTGTATTCAATGGGTCTGGTTCACACCTCGACGTATATCCGCCCGTCCCTAACGCGCTACAAAACGGCCCGCGCCTGAAAAGGTGCCGGTGCTACTTTGGGCCGTTTTCGTTGCGCGTTTTCATTGGGATACAGCCAAGTAGCCCTCGGAAACGCACGTTTGTTGCGCAATTTTTTTTACAGCGAACCGCGGTAAAAAAAAACGGAGCGACAGACGCGCATATGCAATACGCCTAGGTGTGAACCAACTCTTAGCCAACAAAGTTTTAGAAGTTGAGGTAAATACTTCTTGATTTTACAAAGGAAGGAAGTCTAAGGCCCCGTTCACATGTAGAGACTTATCGCGCGATTTCCGCCGCGATATCGCGCATTTTTGCCGCGCGATATCGCGGGAAGTCGCCGGCTAATGATAGTCAATGGAGCTGTCTTAGCTCCATGTCGCGCGTGGCTCGTCGCGGTCGCAAGTCGCTTCTACCGGACCCTTTTTTCGTCGGATTTTGCTTTTTTTTCTATGGAGCCCGACGGAGAAGGTGGCGCTACCGTCGCTGGATCGTCGCCCCGAAAGTCGCGCTATCCCAGGCCGCTGCAAAGGTATGTCGCTACGTGTGAACGGGGTCTAAGGTGTGTTCCGGGTTGGCAGCACCATTGTGAAACACTCACCTTTCAGCATCTCTTGCTGACGATCTTCCTCGTCCAAGTCAATGATCACAGGGCCCGTGGCCTTCTTACTCCTCTTCTTCCTTCCCACTGTGAAGGATTTCTTCAGGGACAGCAAGCGAAACATCTCGTAGCCCATCAGCAGGACGCCGCCGTCCGTCACCCAGTCATTCACCACCTTGGCCCGGGCGGCTGTGGTCCTATAAAAAAACAGAAAACCCGAACAAACATGGTGTCAGAGGGGTCATCGGATTCCGGCGCTGATCTGGTTGGTGGCTGCGGATGAGGCCACCTACTTGTGCTCGTCGTTCAGAGTGTGGACATTGAAGGAGCGGGGCCGGAGCAGCTCCACATCGTGGTCGGGGGGCAGCGCTTCGGGCGCCGGGAGCCACATGTTGAATTCGGCCAGCCAGTTCTGGAGAGTGTTGACCTGCGATGGGGGGGGGGAAACGCATTCCATCAATGAGAGCGAGCAGATGTATGGAGAAGGAGAGCCATGAGCCTGACCGCCCCCGGAGCACACCGCCGCATACAACATAAAGACATTTATAGAGAAGAGAGAGGAAGGAATTTATAATGGATGGTTTACATGAAAATAGAAGCACTCAGGTGAGATGGAGGTCTTAGGCCCCATTCACACTTGGCGATTCGCAAATCGCGCGATATTGCGTGATTTGTCGCGCAAATGCTTGCATCAAAAAGCATTGAATCGCGGCAAAATCCGCTCCAAAAAGGGTCCTGCTGTAGCGACACAAGACCCGCGACAGCAGGACCCATTGCAAAGCATTGAAGAGCGATATCGCGCGGTAAATAGTCGCGATATCGCGGGAATTACCGCGCGATAAAATCGCTCAATGTGAACGGGGCCTGAAAGAACTATGGGGGGGGGGGCTTTTCACTCATCCTCATAGTTGGAGCCGACATGTGACAATGAAACTGTCACACGTCAGCTCTATAGATCGGGAAGTGAGCGAACACACACCGGCGCTCGCTCACCTCTCGACCATCTCCCCGCAGAGAGCCGTGACTGTCACTCACGGCTCCCTGCAGGGATTCCCCCTCCCCTGTCCGATCCTCCAGCGCTGACTGGCGGAACGGACGGGGGAGGGGGTGGGTACAGCTGGCTCTGCTCTCTAGATAGGAGGAGCCAGCTGTCACTCACGCAGGTGGGCGGATCCAGACAGTAATGTCGGGATCCGTTCCGGCTGCGGCGTCTCAGTATACCGCGAGCTGTAGCTCCCTATATACTGAGCCTAGGGTGACGGGAGGACGCTAGTTTGTGTCCCCCTGTGACGCTGAGGAGAGCTATGGGGGGAGGGAGGAGCACTGACCCCATAGTTCTCCTTTAACAAAATGCGTGTTACCATCCATGCATTGCACGCACAGCAACGGGCGGCCCCGGTGTGAATGACCTCTAACGGTCGCTCAGGAGAGGACTGTTGCAGCAATTTAAATTGATTTTGGAGCTTTAAGCGCTTGGGAGTTTTTATCGTTCGCTAAGATGGGCAGATTGTAAGATACTTAACCCATCCCCGATTTCAGAGTGGCACTCGGCGCCGCCCTCGGCCTCAGCGCCCTGCTGTTTCTTCGAGGTCTCGCATCGGCACTAGACGCCGCCCACACCCGCAGCGTCACGCTCATCCTCCTCCACACCCGTCACTATAAAAGCCGCGAGGTTCGGAATGGTGGGCGTCTCAGTATTGCGAACCGACGCTGACCGTTCCCCTCAGCGGCCGCCTCAACAGACCATTCAGCTGGAAGCTCGGCATTGCCACAGCCAAGCTCCTCTCTTCAGCCTACACTAGAGAAACCTCAAGAGCCGGCATCAGACACTCCCTTGCCTCAGCCGCCTGCATTTCCTCGGATTCTCAGCCCCAACTCCATTAAGGGAACAGGGTGGACTCTCGCTGTTTCGCAATCATTCCCCTGCTGGAATCCTGACTTGTCAGCTTCAACCAAACCGCAATATATTTGAGATATACCTTTCCCATGACGTCTCTATGATCTGATTACATTGCCAAAACTGACACGTATGACAAGTATGAACTCTGCATAACGACATCGGGTCATTACCTGCATATGAGGTCACCTTGCAAACTTGCTTTGACTCTGCCACTGCATATAAAACGCTGACAGCTTTGGACTCACAGTAAACCTTTCATGTCCTCACCTGTATGAATGAATACAGCTACTAAACTTTATCCTAAACAAAGTGTTGTGTGTATTCAATTGGAGAGGGCACTGTAGCAAAGTGATCCACCCCTGGTGTATGTGCTATCCGCAGCTGAGTTCCATCCCCCAGTGCTAGAAACAAGATCTTACAATAAAGGCTTTTCACTCATCCTCATAGTTGGAGCCGACATGTGACAATGAAACTGTCACACGTCAGCTCTATAGATCGGGAAGTGAGCGAACACACACCGGCGCTCGCTCACCTCTCGACCATCTCCCCGCAGAGAGCCGTGACTGTCACTCACGGCTCCCTGCAGGGATTCCCCCTCCCCTGTCCGATCCTCCAGCGCTGACTGGCGGAACGGACGGGGGAGGGGGTGGGTACAGCTGGCTCTGCTCTCTAGATAGGAGGAGCCAGCTGTCACTCACGCAGGTGGGCGGATCCAGACAGTAATGTCGGGATCCGTTCCGGCTGCGGCGTCTCAGTATACCGCGAGCTGTAGCTCCCTATATACTGAGCCTAGGGTGACGGGAGGACGCTAGTTTGTGTCCCCCTGTGACGCTGAGGAGAGCTATGGGGGGAGGGAGGAGCACTGACCCCATAGTTCTCCTTTAACAAAATGCGTGTTACCATCCATGCATTGCACGCACAGCAACGGGCGGCCCCGGTGTGAATGACCTCTAACGGTCGCTCAGGAGAGGACTGTTGCAGCAATTTAAATTGATTTTGGAGCTTTAAGCGCTTGGGAGTTTTTATCGTTCGCTAAGATGGGCAGATTGTAAGATACTTAACCCATCCCCGATTTCAGAGTGGCACTCGGCGCCGCCCTCGGCCTCAGCGCCCTGCTGTTTCTTCGAGGTCTCGCATCGGCACTAGACGCCGCCCACACCCGCAGCGTCACGCTCATCCTCCTCCACACCCGTCACTATAAAAGCCGCGAGGTTCGGAATGGTGGGCGTCTCAGTATTGCGAACCGACGCTGACCGTTCCCCTCAGCGGCCGCCTCAACAGACCATTCAGCTGGAAGCTCGGCATTGCCACAGCCAAGCTCCTCTCTTCAGCCTACACTAGAGAAACCTCAAGAGCCGGCATCAGACACTCCCTTGCCTCAGCCGCCTGCATTTCCTCGGATTCTCAGCCCCAACTCCATTAAGGGAACAGGGTGGACTCTCGCTGTTTCGCAATCATTCCCCTGCTGGAATCCTGACTTGTCAGCTTCAACCAAACCGCAATATATTTGAGATATACCTTTCCCATGACGTCTCTATGATCTGATTACATTGCCAAAACTGACACGTATGACAAGTATGAACTCTGCATAACGACATCGGGTCATTACCTGCATATGAGGTCACCTTGCAAACTTGCTTTGACTCTGCCACTGCATATAAAACGCTGACAGCTTTGGACTCACAGTAAACCTTTCATGTCCTCACCTGTATGAATGAATACAGCTACTAAACTTTATCCTAAACAAAGTGTTGTGTGTATTCAATTGGTGTGGGGACTGTGCAAAGCAAT